ACTCCAAAGACATGCTTGTAGGTTCATGGCTCACGTCTAAATCGCCCCCATGTATGTGTATCTGTGTATGTATGCATGTAATATAGGGAGCTTAGATTGTAAGCTTCTTGAAAGTGGGGGCTTGATGTGAATATACAGTATGTAAAGTGCTAAATATTTTGTTGGTGCTATATACATATCTGTAATAAAATAAATAAAAATAAATAAACAATATTTCCCACCTGTGTAGTGATGGTAGTGATATAATGCATGCAGAAAGTCAAGTTCTGCAGTGGTGCTATCTTAGATCATCAATACCTTTTATATATATATATATATATATATACATATCTGAGATTTGTATCTCAGATGTAGATAGATATAGGCTGGGCATAAACAGCCCATCGCTGCCCAAATCCTATTGCCTTATGTGAAACCTAAGTGAAGATTAGGACAATTTAGGGGTATCCTGAGAAACTAGCACAAGCATTGTTAGATTTTATTTTACACATTTGCAGACTTATTAAAAATACTTACTTTGGCCTACCAAATCCTTTCCAAGAGGTGAGGAATGTGTTAACTGCTTGTGCGCTGCTTTTGTTAATCAGACAAGTTCTATGATCATATATACAGTTGAAAGAGGTGTGTGCTTTTGTCATTATTACTCAGGATGAGGTTCAGGTTTGCTACCATCATAAGTTTGAGGTGAACATCACATTGTCGATGTTTGAGGAATTTGCCATAGTAACCAGGATATACTGTCCATCCTTTAAACTGGCTTAAAAGGGCCAATAAGGGGGGCATGAATAATCAGCCCCCTCACTAAACAGTAAAAAGTTGAGGTGTTAGCAGCCATATTGGCAATGTGCTTTAGCTGTAAAGTAATAGGTGAAGCATAGGGCATACCGTTGATAAAGTGCATTGAAAGAGATTAGTGTATGGCTTGCAGGCACTAGCAGGTGTCTTTCTTGAAATATATGTAAACTCTTTTACTGAATGTCATTTAGATAGCAGAATGCTATGTATCTTGAGAAATTTAGGGAGGGAGAAAATGAATAGGTTTTACTTTTTTCATCCTTTGTTGTATCTTAATGTTGCTAATGCCCTGCAGCCTCTTTACAGCATGTCTCTGTCCACATGCACTGGACTGAATATGTTTTTTTTTACATAACATATTTCCTAATTGTTGCTGGCTGCAATTGTTTTTTCGCAGGGCTTGTTTCAAAACCAAAAGTTCCCACAGTCCAAATTCAAATTGGCTGGAAATAAAGCTGTTGGTAATGGAGTGCTACCTCCACAGGAGCTGCATGGTAGATTGGGTTCTCTGTTCTTCTGCATTGAAACTGAAAACAACCTCAGCCCCACTGACACACCCAGTTAGGCAGATGGATACTGCACTGCAACTAGGAGCACAAATATAGATACCCTGCACACAACTTAGGTTCAGTATCAAAAAGCAGTATCAAAAGCAAATATCAGACTGGTTAGTGGTAAATTAACCCAATTTATTTCTCATGGGTTGCAGTTAATAGCAGTATGCACATAAATCAGTAAGTAAAGGGTTAGGTCAATCACAGTTCTCTAGACAATATTATCACTAGGCTATAGCAGCACTGAATGAAGTTCTATGTAACGAAACTGGAGTAAACCTGGTAATCCACAAAAGCAGCAATAAGTAATGACATTAGAAAACAGCAATAATAATTAATACTGTGATAACTCCTCTGTGGACAGTAGGCTATACCATTTTTAGAATGCACTCTATTTGAATAGCAGTGATGAAATTTAAACCTCTCTAAATAGGTACTTTTTAATATGAACAATAGGGAAGGTTCTTGTGAAGCAGCTATCTGAGTGAGCAGTTGTTAGCCCTAGTTCTTCAGTTGGATAGCGTTGAGGCCCTGTGTTTAAGGTGGTGCACATGAGTACAATCCCAGTAGAGTCTGTATGCAGTAAAAAATGCTGCTAGTTAGACGGCCAGTCCCTATGTGCTCAGTCTCTGCTGACAGCAACAGGTTAAGGGCAGCAGTGTCCTCTCATCAGTTCCAGTGATACAACAACAGGGGTCCTGCTGTTCAGATGCCAACTTCCTTCTGGATCTGCATGGAGCTACTCCAGTCCTTAGCACACAGCCGCAGGCTTGTAGCAGGTTGATGTGCACAAAGGAGAAGCAATACTTATCACACCTTGGTCTCCTTTCAGCAAAGAGGAAATCCCTCAATATTCAGCCTGTGAAAATACATCTCTCTCTCTCTGTCTTTATACCCAGCTCACATTAGGAATTGTAGTTCTTAACTGCCATAGTAAAGTTTCTTTCCTGAACTTCTCCCATGATTCAGTGCTGCCAACCATCAACTTTCTTTAGCTCTTTCTGCTTGTCAGCTGCCCCTGGTGGGTGGAGGTGAGGTAGTGGTAACCCGTTCAGCTGAAGTCCATTAGGTAACACAGGAAGGACCTCAGCACAGTGTCCTAAATCACTTTCTGTCTCTAGCCAAGCACCTGGCTATAGTGAAAAAAAAGTAAAGCAAATACCTTGTCCGATTTTAATTTGTAAAGGGTGGCGCTGCTCCTATCATATCGTGATCTTGTAAAAATACTTTCAACTATTAATATTATTTATAACTAGAAAAGCTACAATTTCTGGGAAAATTGTGTGATGTTCTTTTTCTTGCCTGCTCACACACCTGGGTTCCTATGGCAACTCACTCTACAGCAAGGGCAGAGAAGAGCGGTTAAAAACAAACTGCTCCAACTTGCTCACTTCACTGGCGGTTGCCATCTTCAAACTGTTGTAGTTTAAAAATTATTATGCATAGTATGTCTCTGAAATATTAAAAATGAAGGCACAGTTGCAGTTTAGAAATTGCCCTTCAAATTTGAGGTGCCTAGAGTGGAGTTTCAATGAATGTCAATGGACGGCATGAGTTGCAAACAAATGGTCATATTGTGAAACTATCAGGACTATGGCTTAGCCGTGGACATTTTTAGTGACAGCAGGGATAGCTGAACGTTATGATATAAGATTTGTGTAGGTGGGCTTTAAAGTAAGGGAGTGATGGCAGTTTAGAAATCATGTCCTGATTTTTCAGCTCACACTTTAGCTTTTGTCAGCTCCCACTCTAGTTTTGAACATTCCGCCATTCATTCCTATGGGACCAATTTCACCACAAAAACGCTGATATTTTGTGAACCATTTGGTGAAACGTTCCACAAAGTAACAGCACACCAATTGGGAACAATCCACACGTTTTGGTATATTACTGTCTATGTAGTGTAAAAACTGTGGGAGGAGTTAGGGTGGTAAATTTGGCTATAATAAGAATATATTTGTGAGATAACAGTAAGTGGTCTTGCCATGCAAGAACACTTAACTAAAGTAATTGTGTGTCAATCCTATCATATCAAATCTAAACGTGTATAATAAACCAGTGACAGTATGCTAGAATAAACCCTGTAAATCCAGCATAATTTAAACAGGTGTCATAAATCAAACCAAGTGACATGTGATGTATATCTCCTAAGCAAAATTCAAAGTGATTAAAAGTTCCATATAACACATGTACAGTATTACACCAAACAAAAGTCCCAAGTGAGCAAATAAATAAATAAACTTCTTCTTTATTATTCTTTTTTTCCAACACCACTATGAATCCACCACCTAAAATATTAAATGAACTCACTAGAGGTATTTGGTATCAACAACCAGCTAGCAGCAAAATCCCCTCTGGGAGCAAATGTCTGCAGACTTAATTGCTTCTCAAACTTTCTCAAACATCAATAGAGAAGAGGAACTCGCATAGCATAAGATCCTTACAAACCAGTATTTTATTTATAAAAGCATATCCACTCACATTCCCATGTCTCTAGTGACACAAGCTTCACAGCATAAGTATCAAGCAAACCAGTTCGCTCTGACCGCAATCTCTGGCCATGAGCCAACAAGCCGGCATGTGTGGTGACGTCAAACATCCAAAGTTCTGCTTGGATTGATAGGATTGACACACAATTACTTTAGTTATAAATGTTATAAACAGTTGAAAGTATTTTTACAAGAAAGTATTTTGACACACAATTACTTTAGTTATAAATGTTATAAACAGTTGAAAGTATTTTTACCTTGATAGGTGCAAGGTCACCCTTTACAAATTGAGATTGAACATGGTGTTGGGTTATCCCAATAGGGTTGTAGCAGCATTGATTGGAATATTCACACATTTTTAATGAGGTTCTGTTGACATTTCACACAGGCACTGATTTTAATATTTTAGTAGATTTTTGTAATTGAATAGAGGTTGTTAGCACAGAAGATTTACAATAGTGAGTACCAAAAGTGTGGTGTGGCACAATTCCTTTGAATATTTATTTAAATACCTTGGTCATCCTGCCCCACCTTGGCCTCCTGGGATAGCTGAATGATTACAATCCCACGAGAATACACTCCAGCCCATTGTAAGGGTGTGTTCTCACAGAATTTTGAGCCCTTTAGTTATCGCAGGAGAAGCAACAGAAGATGGGGCCGAGGTATTTTTTTTTTTTGGGCAACAACATTATTTTCTTATCAGGCAATTAGTCTTTGGGTGCTATCAATAGAATGTACCTTCTTTTTTTTAACCACTTGTTTACTGATCATTTTTACCCCCTTCCTGCCCAGGCCAATTTTCAGCTTTCTGCACTGTCGCACTTTGAGTGACAATTGCGCGGTCAACATCGTACTCATATGAAATTTGTATAATGTTTTTGAGACAGATAGAGCTTTCTTTTGGTGGTATTTAATCACCTCTGGGTTTTTTTTATTTTTTGCTAAACAAATCAAAAACAACTGAAAATTTAGAAAAACATTTTTTTCTTAGTTTCTGTTATAAAGTTTTGTAAATAAGTGATTTTTCTCCTTCACTGATGTGTGCAATGAGGCTGCAGTGATGGGCACTAATAGGTGGCACTGATGAGGCACTGGTAGGTGGAACTGATGGGCATTGACAGTCATCACTGATGGGCACTGAAAGGCAGCACTCACATATGGAACTGATAGGCAGCACTGACTTGTACTGATAGGCGGCAGTGTTAGGCAGCACTGACTGGCACTGTTAGGCAGCATTAACGGGCACTGATAGGTGGCACTGATTGGCAGCACTGATAGGTGGCACTGAAAGGCAGCTCAGATGGGCACTGATATGTGGCTCTTTCATTGGCTCTTTCCGCTGATTGGTAGTCCGCTGCGTCCGAGGGACACAGTGCACCACCGATTGCTGTGCTGCGCTCCACCAGGGGCGCGCACGCACGATTAGAGTGGGAGGACATCATATGACATTCTCCCAGAACAAGAGAACTGCCGCCAGTCCGTCATTTCCTTATATGGCGGACGGGAGGCAGTTAATGGAATGTCCACATTAAATAGTGACATCAGTAGAATATGTCTGGTCAATGCGCATCAACAAAGAATCTTAGACTCCATTCACACTTTCAGCTCGACGCCTGATGCTCAGAAACGCTCAACAAGCAAAATCCTATTCAATTCTATGGTCTTTATTCACATATGAGCCTTTCATGCATATAGGAAAACATCGGTCATTCAAAAAAGTTCTTGCGCTACTATTCAGGCAGATCTGAGCGTTTTGTCCCCATAGACTTGAATGGAAAATGCCGGAACAGTGGGAATTGAGGGTTTTTCAAGCATTTTTTCAAGTGTTTTTTCAGGCGTTTTCAGCTCAAACAGCAGCTATTTCTATTGGCCACAGCAAAAACACCTAAATGAAAAACGCCTGAAAAAATGCCTATAATATTTTACAAATCTGCTGAAAAAAAGCGCTCAAAGACGCCTGAAAAAAATACTTGAAAAAACACCTGCAAAATGCTCAACTCAGTGTGAATGGAGTTTGTCTGAATAGGTTTGTCTGAAAAAATGTGACAAGGTGATTTGTGACAGAGCATTGTCACTAGCTGTTTTCATGAAAGCTAGTGATGAAAAACAAATAGGCTTTTCAAGTGATACTATCATGTTAAAGTTTATAGGAGCTTTTGTTGGTCGTGTTTACATCTACTTTCTTTGAATTGCAGCTGGGATACATTTTACATGTGTCCTGTTTGTGTGCACAGATCTGTACACCCAAAAATCCTTTTAACCCCTTCATGCTAGCACCTCCCAGCCCTTTAAGAGTTTCAGAAGCCAGGAGGCAGGGCGGGGTTTAGGGTCATGTGACCGCCGTGACGACACATCACGGCGGTCACATGATCGGGAAAGATCCTGATCGCAAGAGGAGATCGGGACCTTTTCGTGAGTACCGGACATGTGTAATGGGAGCACGCAGGGCGGGCACTCTCGGCACATATGTCCTTTTTTAATAGAACGCAAATGTGTAGCCGCTTGGCGTCTAGGCCCAGACGCCGGGAGGCCGCACATTTGCGTTCGGCTGGTGTGAAGAGTTTAAGGACCACAGCTGTCCACAGCACCTAACTGATACCTCTTGCTTAAATTGTCAACACCTTAGTTACTATTTTATATTAATTGGGGCCTTTTCTTTCTCTTTTTTTTTTCTTATAATTTTTAATGTGGGGTGATTGGAGTGCATCAGACCGTTAAGACTGCTTGGTGACTTCTACCTACAGGTGAGCTTATAATAAAGCTTATCTGTATGTACAAGGAATATCTCCTAAATTTGCACAATTTAGGAGATATTTACTATTTCTGCAGCCGGTGATGTCACAGGACTTTGAAAGGACGGTATACTGAATATGCTGTCCCTCCAGAGCGCTGTGCCACGACCATGGATCCCGCATGTGTGCAGGAGTGACGTCATTGTGGCTTGGCAATTCAAACGGCTGGAGCCTGCAAACCTGAAATACCAGATGAGGATGGAAGCCCTGTCAGAGGTGATAGCATGTCACTGGATTGTTTTGTTTTAAGGTGAGACTTTCGTAATATGCTACTATGCAGTGCGGCACAGTTATTGGACAAAGTTCCTTAAAACCAGTATTTTATTTATAAAAGCATGTCCACTCACATTACTGTGTGTCTCCACTGACACACATTTCACAGCATAAGCATCAAGCAAAACCATTCTCTCTAACCGAGGTTTTAAGGATCTTATGCTATGAGAGTTCCTCTTTCCTTTCCTCCCCTTTATTGATGGTCAGGATTATACTTATGTACGAGAGAGTTTGAGAAGCGATTAAGTCTGCAGACTAATGCACTCAGAGAGGAATGCACTGCTAGCTGGTTGTTAATACCCCAGCAAACACCTCTGGTGTGTTCCTTGAGCATTTTTGGTGGTGGATTCACAGTAGTGATGGAAAAAAGAATAAGGAAGAAGCAGTTTATTTATTTATTTGCTCACTTGGGACTTTTGTTTGGTTTAATACATGTGTTATATGGGACTTTTAATCACTTAGAATTTTGTTTAGAAGATATACATCACATGTTACTTGATTTGATTTATGGCACCTGTTTAAATTATACTGGTTTTTAAAGGTTTATTCTAGCATACTATCACTGGTTTATTTTACATGTTTATATTTGATATGATAGGATTGACACACAATTACTTTAGTTATAAATATTATTAAATAGTTGAAAGTATTTTTACAAGATTGCTATATGATAGGTGCAGTGTCTATCTCCATGTACCATTTAGGAGATATTCACTATTTCTGCAGCCAGTGATGTCATAGACGCATGCACACTGCACTTTGAAAGGATGGTATACTGAGTATGCTGTCCCTCCAGAGCGCTGTGCCACGATCGTGGATCCTGCATATGCGCAGGAGTGACGTTATTGTGGTTTGACAATACCAATGGCTGGAACCCACAAACCTGAAAGATTGGGTGAAGATGGAAGCCCTGTCAGAGGTGATAGCATGTCACTGAAGGGTTTTGTTTTAAGGTAACTCTTTCATAATGTGCTATGCAGTGCAGCACAGTTATTGGACAAAGTTGGCCTCAGAGTGCCAGAAATGGGAGTAGTTAAGTTGTAGCCTTTTTTTTTTTTTTTTAAACTGATGACCATTGCCATGTGGAGATGAACTGCCCAACCACTGTACAAAATGTGTGTGCTTTGTTTCTCAAATAATACACTCTAATGTTTATGTCAAGATAACACCTGTCTCGTCTCTCCCTTTTATATTATGGCATAAATAAGCTGCTTACATACTTTACAGGTACTGAACAATGTTTGTGCCTATTGATTTTTATTGCAAGATAAGACTTACCTTGTCTCTTTCTTAGCTGCCTTTGCTGCATCACATATTGTGGATGTGTAAAATTAGATATAGAATATACAAAAAAGTCAGGTAAAAAGCATTCTTTTGGTTCCTATATGATACCAATTGACACATGGCCCTATACTGACACTTAGGGGTCCATTTATGTTATCACACAAGATTCACTCAACTTTAATTTAGGAGACACACATTTTTCTAACTAACTCCAATTAGAAAAATGAGTGAATCCTTGTTAAAGCTGTGACAATATTGTGTGAGAAAAGTGGATGACTTAAGGCTCGTTCACATGTACAGTCTGGGGGGGGGGGGCATAAAACCAGGTGGCTGAACTGTGGTTTAACAGCTGTTTAGAACTGTGCATGTGCCATGCCATTTTTTTCTTAGATTTTTTCATTTTTCATTCACTACAAATAAGCAGACCACTATATACAATACAAGATTATTTATGATCCTTATAAAAGAAATAGGATTGTATGATTTTTTTTTTCATTGATTGCATACTAGATTGTTGATAAACTACTTTCCTATTTATCTTTTTAAATTTGTCACATCAAAGATCCTATGTATCTGATAAGAAGGATGTCAATTCTACTCACTCTGCATACGATACAACTGAGTAAGCAAACCTGGTAATGCATGAAGTTTTTGCTACGTCCCTCTTCAATTTATACTTGGCAAAGCCCTGTTCACATGGACCGTGTATACAGAGCACTTGCTAACAGCTCTATATAGAGGTGAAACTCAAAAAATTAGAATATCGTGCAAAAATTCATTTATTTCAGCAATGCAACTTAAAAGGTGAAACTAATATATGAGATAGACTCATTACATGCAAAGAAAGATAGTTCAAGCCATGATTTGTCATAATTGTGATGATTATGGCTTACAGCTCATGAAAACCCCAAATCCACAATCTCAGAAAATTAGAATATTGTGAAAAGGTGCAATATTCTAGGCTCAAAGTGTCCCACTCTAATCAGGTAATTAAGCCATAACACCTGCAAAGGGTTCCTGAGCCTTTAAATGGTCTCTCAGTCTGGTTCAGTAGGAATCGCAATCATGGGAATGACTGTTGACCTGACAGTTGTGCAGAAAACCATCATTGACACCCTCCATAAGGAGGGAAAGCCTCAAAAGGTAATTGAAAAAGAAGTTGGATGTTCCCAAAGTGCTGTATCAAAGCACATTAATAAAAAGTTATGTGGAAGGGAAAAGTGTGGAAGAAAAAGGTGCACAAGCAGCAGGGATGACCGCAGCCTGGAGAGGATTGTCAGGAAAAGGCCATTCAAAAAGGTTGGGGACTTTCACAAGGAGTGGACTGAGGCTGGAGTCAGTGCATCAAAAGCCACCACACACAGACGGACCCTGAACATGGGCTTTAAATGTCATATTCCTCTTGTCAAGCCGCTCCTGAACAACAAACAATGTCAGAAGTGTCTTACCTGGGCTAAAGAAAAGCAGACCTGGTCTGTTGCTCAGTGGTCCAAAGTCCTCTTTTCTGATGAGAGCAACGTTTGCATCTCATTTGGAAAGAAGGACCCAGAGTATGGAGGAAGAATGGAGAGGCACACACTGCAAGATGCTTGAAGTCCAGTGTGAAGTTTCCACAGTCTGTGTTGATTTGTGGAGCCATGTCATCTGCTGGTGTTGGTCCACTGTGCTTCATTAAGTCCAGGGTCAATGCAGCCATCTACCAGGAGATTTTGGAGCACTTCATGCTTCCTTCCGCAGACGAGCTTTATGGGGTTGCTGACTTCATTTTCCAGTAAGACTTGGCACCTGCCCACACTGCCAAAAGCACCAAAACCTGGTTCAATGACCGTGGGATTACTGTGCTTGATTGGCCAGCAAACTCACCTGACCTGAACCCCATAGAGAATCTATGGGGCATTGCCAAGAGAAAGATGAGAGACATGAGACTGAACAATGCAGAAGAGCTGAAGGCAGCTATTGAAGCATCCTGGTCTTCCATAACACCTCAGCAGTGCCACAGGCTGATAGCTTCCATGCCATGCCGCATTGAGGCAGTAATTGCTGTAAAAGGGGCCCAAACCAAGTACTGAGTACATATGCATGCT